CACACACACGCACTCCTTTTTCTTACCTAAACACGCACATGTTTTCTCCATCCTGTCCAGTTTTCCCGACTCAAACCTCGTTCATAAAAGCCATTCCTGGTGGCTATCATTGGTGCACACATCCAATCACAAACATTTTCTTCCTGTTATTCGGGCTTTAAACGTGAGCAGACAGACACATTCACAGACGCTTCTTTTCGCGAGAAGATTCGCTGTTTGTGACTAATTTGTTTCCCTCTAATTTGTATGTCCACCGCTGAAGGGGACTGACCGACCTCTAGCAAGCCGTGCACGCTAAGCTTTGCACTTCAGACGCAGCTTTCCGTGCAGCCGAGCACCGCCCCGGCGCTGGTGAGCTTAGACGGCTCCCCTCGGCTGCAGCGCGCAGTCACCCGTGAAAGCGCATCGACTCATTACCGTCACGGGTACGAGCAGCCCCGTCGCCTAACAAATTGCTGGTGAGGCAGGGAAATTAATCAGAATCCAGACACAGCCGGTAAGCAGATGCTTCATATATTGCTGATCAGAGTTCTGGCACCATTTAAATTCTTTGCAAAGTATTAATAATGAAGCATATTATTTATCGGTGTGTAAAAAAAATATACGTATGGAATATGAAGGTGGTGTGTGAGTGTGCCCTGTGATGGGCTGGCCCCCTGTCCAGGATTGTTCCCTGCCTCGTGCCCATTGCTTCCGAGATAGGCTCCGGACCCCCCGCGACCCAGTAGTATATAAGCGGGTTGGAAAATGGATGGATGGATGGATGGATGGAATATGAAGGGAACGACAACTGCCACTTACGGTATAGTAAGATGGGCAACACATTGTCCATTAACGTGGGTGGTTTTGTGTGTATGAGTGGTGCGGGGTTATAGAACTGCACACCGCATTGTAAATGTAGCTATTTGTTCAAGCAAAGCAAAAGACGGATAATTGTCTCGTCTATGATTAATTCATCATGTCCAGCAACGGCTGAATAAGAATTTCTGAGTCATTTAACCAGTTTCCATGAGTGTCCCTATAATTTTTCCTAACTTTCTGGGCATGGTTTGTCCCAAACCATGTACACACACACGCGCGCGCACACACACACACACACACACACACACACGTGCACGCGCACCACGCACTCAAATAAATAAAAATAAAGTCAGGAAGCAAATCGCTGACACGACAGAAAAAAAGCAGCAACATAATTCCACTGGGGCAAAAACGAGAGATTCAACAAATGTAGGGTTTTTTATCTGGCTGTTTTGTTTTGATTAATTGTTATTCTACAACTATCTAATAACACAGGAATTATATTATGGAAGAAGATAATCGTAGCTGATATCGTTTTTAAATGCAAGCAAAGTACATTCAATACAGTGCTGATTTCTTTTTTTTCTTTTGCAAGACCGTAATATAGAAGTTAAACAGGCAATGTTATAGTAGTTAGGAGTGCAATTCATTTATATACAGAGGCTAACTGATCGTCAGTTTCGCTAGCTTAATACCACGCCAACAGTGGAAATGCAAAGCTCAGTCCATCTCTCCGTCAGTCATCGATGCTTTGCTCGTCCGAGCAAAAAGTAGCATCCCTCTGAGGTGCGCCAAAGGCAAATCCGCTAGACCAAAAAAATTAACGTGGTTGGATGCGAGGATTATGGGTAAAAATCCTCCTGGCCGGTAAAGGCAGGCGTGTGGGGAAATACTGTCCTTATGATGGAGTCCAGACCGCTTTTGCAATCCACGGCACTTACACTAACACTGGGATGAAAAGTTTGTGCACAGTGCCGGACCTGGTCGGCCCAGTGATCGACACCGTGAGGCAGATTTGGTTAACTGCTAGTAAACCAAGGATTACAGTCGCAAAAACAAAAGGAAAAACAAAGGATTCCGTGTAGTTCTTAAAAGACGCAATTTTCAGTGTGGCCCAAAAACGTGGAGCGGTGGCAGTGTCTAGGGGACGAGGTCCATTAAAAAATGTTAATGAGTTAGAAGGCTGGCGTCTCAGAGGAGCCGAGGAGGTGTGAATTTAAGATGGGGGATCTGCATAAACCGCCAAGGTCTTCTGGTGCCAGCTTGGACGGAGGAACCCACGAGGTAGGGCATTTCCTACTGCCCCCCTCCAGTATATTAACCGTGAGACCCCAATCAGTGCAATTCATCACTTCTCCTCCAAGCTTTCTCTACTGTGTAATTACACATCAGGTAAGTGCGTGCCCGAATGCCTCGTGGCATTGTGCATTAAAGGGATAGCACAGAAGATAAGTCATAAACACAGAAGTCCGTTGAGGCTGACACAATTATTTCGCCTTATCTTCAAAATCAGTATTGGATTTTTCATTAAAGAGGAATCAACACAGAATTCCCCATTGTGGGCAAAAATAAAAGAACTTCCACTGTCTTGCTTATTAATACACAATTAAAAAAAAAATCACCTCTTTCATACAACAGACCTTTGCATTGTGTGGTCTTTCTATAACAGTGCAGCAGCATATCATCTAAACAGGAATGAAAGCATCATACAACACTTAAATATGGCAGAAGACCAACATTCAGCAAAAAAAAAAAAAATATCTTCCCATATTACCAGTATTGATGTGAGGGAAAATTTGAACAAATTTTGATGAAATGATGAGATCTCACTCCGGACACTGCTTTTCATCATAAAAAGTGAAATTCATCACATATGATTCAGACCAAAACACTCCACATGCTGCAGCTCCTCTTTGGCCAACGTAAAGAAGGATTTCACAACAGCTATTTTTTTCCTGTGGCAACAGTCAACATTTAGACAGTGATGATGTTAATGCACATACATGCTGCAGATGACGTTATGACCTAGAAAAACTTTTCAGACAAATATAAAGATACAAAATGAATGTTCAGTCTTTCTATCACATCTTAATAATAACCATAAGTAATAATACATAAATGACCCCTGAATCATTTGGTCTTTAGGTGGATAACAGGTTAGACAGCACAGTGCCTGTCCAGAAACTCATATCCCATTCACTCCCCTCCATACTGCCCTTCTGCTGAAATCCAGCTCTGTCTCCATTTCACTGCCTTGATGCACATTTTATACCTATGAGGCAAAACCAAGAACTACCACTAGAGGGCATATTTAAAAAAAAAAAGAACATTTAAACTGAAGTAGGGTTGCAAAATTCTGTGATTTTTCCCATTAATTCCCATATATTCCTGTTACTTCCCAAGGAAAGTTTCCAACTTGGAAAAGTTCCAAAATTTTCCAGCTTAACTTCCCATGAAATGGAAAGTTTCTGGAAATTTTCCACCACTTTGCACCCTTAAACTGAGCTGCTCCACATGACCCACCGCCTTGTCTATCTAATATTATAATTCATGATTACTGCCATTACCAGACGCTTGCCAGTGAAGAACCTACTTATGAAGTAATTGATCTTCAGTAAACAGTGAAGTGTTTTTTGGTTGGGAATACAGTGGAGTTCTGGGTTCCTGTTAAAGATCCAATTTCTGGTGACCCCAAGCTGACCTCTTGACCCCTCCGGGCTGTGTTGCCATGGTAGCAGTTGAGTCATGTGAGAGGCAGGTCTCTTATTGGGCAGGAGTGTCTTACAGGATCTCACGATTATCAGCATCCGCAGCGACACAGCAAAAGCACAGCCTTTATGCCATAAGAATGGTTTAGGAATGCAGAAATATCAAAACAAGGAAAACAAAATTGTGTGTATGGTCTGGACTTAAAATTGGACAATCAAATTATGATCACCTATGCCCAGTTCATAATGTCTTACCCTCAGTTATATAAAATTACATGCGCAACATCCTTATTCACCAGGAGAAAAACATCTGACCAAGTTAATCAAAAAACCCAGTACTGCCTTCCTTGATCTACCCCAGTAAAGGGGTGTACAGGTCTAGTCTGGCTTGCTGGCTTTGTCTCAGTTCCAAACAGTCACCCTTAAGTAACTGTTTTGCTGGTAAGTTTTCTGACAAGGTACCTAAACTGCCAGTCTGGAGTGAAGTCTGACATCTGGCCAGAATGAGGGAGAACCGATCAGGATGTTCTTTGGAAAATATGACAAGTGGTACCTGCTGCTGAAGCCTG